ATTCCGCTGTTGACCAATGCTGGGGGCTAATCTGGATAACTCAAATACAGCAACACTCTACTCCATTGTTTGGAGGTTCTCTTTGCACTTAAATTTTCTTATGTAGATACAGCTTAACAATGTCATTTGACTGCCCACTTGCAATATGAAAAGACCAAATATTTCCTTGTATGCATCTACTTTCATGATGTGTATCACCAACAAGAGAAACAGAGATACATTTATATAAAACAGTAGTAGATAGCATTTCTATTATATAGAACATTTTTCTATCATACACATGCTTTCCTTTCTGCCTTTATTGCATTTTTTGACTCAGTACGAACAATATTTTAATCCTTTATGGTTTAACCTATTCCAGGATTGATGCTGTGTTCCCATAGATAGTTTTTCTAAGGCATTATCAGTAAATATTGCTTATGAGTTGCTTTAAACAACTTAAGGGCTCCCATTTTGAACTGCTAGAATGATTCAAGGTTAGGAAGATTTATCACATTCACCATAGGAACTGGCTGTGGACATGGTTAATTGCTAAATTTTATTCACCCCTAAATGGTGTCGGCAGCAAATCAGCTCACAGCTTAATACTACTGGCAGCTCTAAATGGGAGAGAAATGATGTTACTCTGATCCATCCTATTTCTGTGTAGGTTCTCATTCATTTCCAGTAGTTCTGATACTGATGCTCAGGTACTGGATGTAGGATTCTCTTTCAAACAACAAAAGAAGGTGAGGAACAAAGCTGAAGATATTTTTAAATGTCATGGTAACAAGTAACAGTCAAATGTATTTCATCTTTAAAAAATAAAAATAAATGTATTTCATCTTTGTTTCAGTGAACATTCCTAATTCCCATATAAAGATATATTCTTTTCAGAAAGATTTTCTTTTGGCAAAGTTCAGAACTCTGAAAATAGTCTTTTGGTGGTAGTGCCCACACCATCCTATTACCAAAATGACAGCGCTATGATGTATTATTCCCTCCTGGTAACAGACACCGTTGAAGCAGAACCGTAATCTGGCACACAGCATTTCTATACTAATGTAATGTGACAATGTTATTATGTTCACTATTTTCCATGTGATCATAGCCATAGTCATATTCCCCAGCCTGATGTTAAATTAACAAATACAGCTCCGTTCTTTTCTGGACCAATGGGTGAAAGCAGAAAGGGATTATTGCAGCATGGTGGCTTGATGGTGGTGTATGTGTGTGCCAGCGTGTGTAGGTGACATGTAGACTTCATATAACGAATGTAAACTCTCAAGCCTGGCACAGAGCACGTACTCAATAAGTGATTGCATCCCAGAGAAAGTTCATAAATAGCTATAATATGTGGTAAGTACAAAAACTGTTGCTTTAAGTTTTGGAAGAGGGGAAAGGTAAGGCTCAGCTCAGAAGACCAGGAATGTTTGCATGGGGTGAAAGAGTTGAAGTAGAGACTGAAAATGCAAATATATTTCTTCAAGCAGATACAGCGAAAGGAAGGTATTCCAGGTGGAATGAGCGCATTCCCCAAGAGGAGAAGCTAGCCCAGGCAAGGGTGAGGCGAGAGGGAAAGCGTCACGTTGTTCAGAAAGCCACGGGTAAGATAATCGGCAGCAACATGCCACATGGCCAGGCCCTGTGATAGCCAAGGGTGAAAATGAAAGCCAGGGTCGGAGCACGGCAGCCCATGAGCTCCGAAACGCTGAACGCGGAGCGCACTGCCGGCCACTGCGGCGCCGGAATCCTCGAGGAGTCACTAACCTGGTCAGCGCTGATGTGAGCGGCTGCTATCAGCAGTGACATGCAACATGACACGCGAAACAGTGGCTTATGAGCCAACAGAAAATACGGAGCTACTGTCCCCGAGAGAAGCACGCAGTCTTACAGGGAGGTGAGGCCGCACGTAGGTAACTAAGGCAGAGTGATGGCTGATAAGGCAGCGGCCACAAGGCTCTAGAAGCCAGAGGGGGGAAACGATGGTCTGTGTCAGGAGAATCAGGACGAGCGGGTGATATTCCAGGGGGGAGAATGGGAAGGACAGACAGAACCGGGGGGGCAGTGAGAAGGGGAACCTCAAGCCGGGAGTGCTCAACGGCCAGATGGATAACCCGGGGAGCTGAGACCTGTACTGACATGAGAGAACGACGCTAACACGCACCACGCGCGGCAACTGTGTTAGTCCGTGAGTAGAGACGGCAATCTTCCGGGGAGGAAAGGGTTTCACAAACACTGTTCTTTCGAAGGAGACTCTGGCATCGTTTTGCCGAAGCGCCTCTCCTTTGCAAGATTCCTTTAAGTTCATTAATTAGTATGATTTATCCAAGATTATGCTTACAAACTACAAGTATTCCCATCTTCCCATTGTTAATTATATCTCCAGGCAAACATAAATAGAATTTTCTAGTTACTCTTACCCACTCCAGGAAACTTATCAGAGAGACGACATTTAAAAGGTCTATTGGGGGATGTGGGGAGGGGTCTCTTTTGCAATGTGGTGTGTTCTTTCTTCTTTTAAAAAGTTTTATTTCTCTTTCTTTTTCTTTTTTTTTTTTTTGGTTTCGTATGCAGTTGAAGGCTGGAGTCACAGAATTTATGAATAAATACTTAAGTTGAAAATAAAAATTTCATTAAGAAATGAAATGTCTTAAATTGTTTTTTTCTTAAAGTCAACCTCCATAGAGAAAAACAGTTTGTTAAAACCCCAGGAATCACACTAATTATATTTATGCAACTTATAGAGAATCAGTGAGATAGAGAGAAAAGGTATATTTTGATAAATTTAAAAAGTGAAGAAAATGTGGCCTGCTACTTTTACTGCCACATCAATTGTATGTCCTCGATGTAATAGCCACTACTGCACCTTCTACAAATTATAGTTCATATGAAAACAAGATTTGCTTTTAAAGATTGATCTGTGCTTCCATATCCTCACCACCAAAACTCCAATGTACAAACCAAGAAACTATTTCACATTTCCAGAAAATCCACTAAGAGGTAATGATTTAATCAAAATGCATGCATTCTGAGAGCCCTCCAATGTAATTTTAATGCTGATTTGTGCAAGAAGCATATCAGGAGACACATTTATTGGATGACATTTACCTTATTTACAAGAAAATAACAAATAGCCTTATCATTGTCATCACCACTACTATCACCCAAGAGCAGCATTCAAATAATTCTCTGTAAAAATGATTTGAAGACAGCATGATACTTAAAGTAGGATCTCGATGTTCCTTTAGGAAATGTCGAGCCAATACATACAGAAAATTATATTCTTCCTACTTAACCGGTATATGAGGATACACAATCTGACACAAACAAATGACAACTGTTTTGTAAAACATGGAAACTAGATTAAGCAAAGTTTGGGCAGAGAAAGTTCTTTAGCAAAATGAAAAACATTTTCATGCACAAAAGCTCTCTCAGCTACCACATGTGGTCGTATATCTGCCAGAATCGAACTCAAGATTAAAAATTTGCCATAATAAAATCGTAATAAATTATCAGTCTTCTGGTTGTCCTTGAAAATAAGTTTATGTTATTTTCTGTGGGGCAGGAGCAAATGCAGGAAAAGCTACTATTCTGTGTACATATACACATATTATTATTAAAAGCATCTACACGGTATTTGCTTGGCTTTATGTACATATAAGTATTTATTGAATCTTTTGTAAGTTATTCATACAGCCCCAAAGGGGGTTGTTTGTGTGATTTATTTTGTAGAAATACAGTGTTTGCAAATGTGTGATAGCTTGAACACATGTTTAGTGCTTCAAGTTTACTTGTAATTCTTTTGAAGATGTCACTGGTAGAATGGAGACTAAATATTTCTCCATCTATGGTGGCATGATCTTTACAAGTGTCTTCCAAGTACTATTTTACTTTGCATTCATTGCTTGTAATTCCTGTATTCAATATTTTGGATGGGAAACTTGAAGATAGATGGTGAATTGTGTACTATTGCCAGGCAACAACTCAGTTCAATGAAATACTATAGTTTGACCCCGTTTTCAACGCTGTGATACACATATCCGCTGACATGAACAGAGTCTCTAATAGAAAAAGGTCAAAATGAACAAACTCTAGTCGTTCTTTAAGTGTACACTCAAGCCCAGCCTTTGCATGGAAGCTGAAACCTTCAATCATCGCCATCACCGAACCCATCATCCCAGGGCTTCCCTTAAATGCTGTAGCATTTAAAAATATAAAGCACAGGCCCTATTTTCCAACCAGGAAGCTTTGTCAGAAATATTTTCTCAATATAGTGAAATGCAATGCTTGGTAGGAAATACTTTGATGGTTTTGATGAAATGCTGTAAAGCACGCTCTATTTGAGTGTTAAGAAACAGGTCATCATCTTCAATACCAGTTAATTCAGTCTCAGATCCTCACTGCAGTCACACAGCTTAGGCACAAGCAGATATTCCACCATACAAGGTGAACACTCTGTTTCTTTGTCATGTTTATACTGTGAGACTAAAGGGGGGGAAACCTACAAGTGGCTGAAATATAAGGGGGAGTTCTTCAAGCCCAAAGTTCAAACATGTTTTTAAAGCAAAAGGGAGATCTGGGCTTGAAGAGATGCAGAAAGACACAAACACATGAGACCTGTCACCATATGCTAAAATTACAGCCATCACGGTGTACCCTTACAAAATTAAACACGACTTTATAAAAAGCAGTATGAAGTCTCTTTCAAAAACTAGGGGTGAACTGTCACATATAGGAAATAAACACATTATTTTTACCAAGGTGACCATTAGCAATTAAAAAAGCATTTACAACCATCGAAAACCAAAGAATCGCCATCATCGCCCTGACATGTAGCTTATAGCACTTTTGATTCGTATTTCTGTGCTTAGAATTGTTCTTTCTGTAGAAACAAGGGCCTCTCCTGCTTATGGCAGTGTAACTTACAGGTAGCATGAAGAGTCCCAGGCTCAGAGCCTGGACGGCAGACAGTAACAGAAACAAAGGTGCGCATCGGCCCCGTGCGCACAGGCACTTACGGTCGTTGCAGAGCGGCCCGCTGAAGGAAGTCATGCTGCAGTCGCAGCTGAAGCCGTCCCACTGCTGCAGGCACACGCCCTGATTGGAACACGAGTCCTCTTGGCACGTCGTGCTGGGCCCTGCAAAACCATCCAGAAGAAACTTGGGTGCTTATAAAAAACCCCGGAGTTTTAGACATGAGCTAGGGCACATATAGTAGTTGCCAACACCTCAAATTACATGACCAAACTAGTTTTCAACGTTCTAGTTCGCACACCTAAATTAGAAACAGAGAAGCTGTAATATGAAAGTTTTCTGAAGTTTCAAATACAGGATAAAATGCATTATAGTAACAAACTAAACCGACAAATAGTAAAAGCAAGCGCATAGCTTCCAGTATGAATATGGTGGCAGGTAATCTCATTGCCTCACCCATAATTCTCTATCACCATTTGGATTTTAGATAAACGCATGGATCTCCTTAGCTTCTGACCAATGAAGAGAGACACCATGAGAAATAGAGATCATAACTTCATGAAATTGAGATAATATTGGCAAAATAACAGAAGTGAGGTATGCAAAAAAAAATGTCCTACGGCTTCTAGAAGTTTCCCTGCACAAACTATGGATAAAGTTATGATTGTTGGGCATTTCGGATAGGTTTGTTGGCAAGTATCAATTCACATGCTTTGACAACTTCATGCAATTAAACATAAAATGAAGACCTGTGTATCAATGACATGCCCCGGTTGAACATACAAGTAAAAAGAATGCTATTCTATTTCTAAAGGATCAGAACTAGAACACTGAGAAACAAAGAACTAAAAAAAAAAGGCGATCAAAGCACTAAAGGGAACCACTATACAAACACAGTCAAGACTGAAAGCCTTTATGCAAACTATGCTACAGAATGAGGTCTCTCGCACAATGTTCAAAAAGGAGAAAAGTTAAATCTGAGCCCAAACAATAGTCACTGCGGAGATGTAAGAAAAAATGTTATTTGGAGGCTTCCACTGTGTATCATGGGGTTTCAGTCTTGTTTTATACACACAGGGCTATCTACCTTGCAAGTCAGCTTTCATCAATGCAACTTTGTCAGCAAAATAAAAAAAAAGCAAAATATATTAAATGTTAGTAAGCAGTACTGAAATGGGGCAGACACAGAAGAAAGTTCAGATTCAAAAAGCATGCTGCTATAAAGGGGGAGAGAAAGGCTATGTAAAGCAAATAAATTCATACTAACAGCCATAAGTCTTAAGCCAAAAATGAGAAAGCAGTAATTTATTAGAATTTTACTATAGGTGTGTATATACATATAAAAAGGTTAATTGAGCTGATGACATGTGATGAAGGAAAGTTAAAAGGGCTTCTGCTGTTTTTCCTCTCTCGGAGGGATATGAGCAAGTTACCAAAGTGACTGCATTGCTTATTTGGAACATGTGGGACAATATTTGTCATGTACAAATACAGTGTAGATTGTGGTCATTGGCAGACCAATGATCCCTTTCCACTTTTTCCCCTCTAGGCCTTTGATCTTGCTATTGCAATTAAAACTTAAAACAATAATGCCAGCCATTCGCTGCCAACAGCTGAATGACACCAAACCATCGAAATGAATGTATCGTTTGGAGTGGATGAAAGAATAAAGGATGGAAGAAACAAATCCTTACAAGATTTCAATGTGGAATGTCTTTGCTCTTACCAGGTTAGGCGTATTCTGCTTAAGGATTTCAGAGTTATGCCTGCATGTTTTTCTACGTTCATCATTGCCTTTAACTTTTATGAATTGCTCTGTGCATATTTATCACAGTAGAACCCAACTAGTAAGGGCTAACTTAGGGAATGGTGAAAATGGAGTGCTGTCCATCTAAATAGCTTTAGAGTAAAAATTTAAAATATTTTGCAGTAAACACAATTTTACAGGTTTTATGAAAATGTCAAAATAGACACCAGCCTAATCAGATGCTTTTAACAGTGAGGGCCTTTGGGGTAACCGCTTTAGTGAATGAGAATTATCTAAAATTAGCTTTTCTATAAATTAATGTTTTGGTAAAATGTCTATTTAAACACGCTCCTTACAATCATACTTCTATTATGGTTTTCTTAGTAAAGGTATTCTTCATAGGAAGCTATTGAATTTAGCCTAAACTATGTGAATTTTCACAAGTTCAGAAACAATAATATTGCAAATATTAATTATATAATAATGATGATGACTATTATAGGAATAACAACAGTTACTATTATTATTATTAATAATAATAAGTGGGACATTGAATAGATGTAACAGTTATTTGATTCAACAGGTAAGAAAACTAAGAACCACTGAATTGTTCAGTTTTCATTATTCTTCTAATTTGTAAGAGGTGAGTGGTCTAATAATCTTTATCTCATGGGCATTAGAGACTTAAAATAATTAGTATTTGTTTTAAAAATAAACAAAAAACCACACAAAGCAATATTCCTTAGCACACTCCTTCTGGGATCAACATAGGGTCGAGGAGTGGTGCAAGCCCAGTCTGGGGCAGGCACTGTTTCATCAGCGGATAGGTGCTCCTTCATTTACCCAGCGGAAGGAAAGAGCAGGGGCGAAAACTGGTGAAGAGCCAGATTTTTATTTTTGTAAAAATTATCCGGAATACAGTTGCAAAATAATGCTAAACTCTAGAAATGGTAAACCTGCAACCCTAAAAAGTAATCTTCCCATATTATGGAGCAGCAATTCAGGGCACCTGGCAAAATTTATGTGGGCATAAAGACATGCTTTATTACTATTATTTTTTTTTTCATTATCACAACAGTCTCTTTATATTCAGGTGTTACAAGAGAATGCATTCCTGTGCCTGGCAAGACATTTTTCAAAGTACTCACTTTCTAGAACAATATTTAAACATTGACAGGCATTTACATGAAACAAAGCCCAGAATTTATTTTTCCCTTTAGTTATATCATGTTCCTTTTTTTTTTTTTTTTTTTTT